TAAAGCATAATATCCAGAACAATGACTCCTTGGTTGAGAAGGCAGCTAGATCTGCTGCAGGACAGCTTCAGCAAAGCTGCTATCACCTCAGTAAGAGGTAAACCAGAAAGCTGGAACACTGGCTCATCAGATTAATGCACGAGCACATGTTGCCACAGATGCTGGAACTCTGAAGGCTGATTTTCAGCTATGGTTATGAAATACAGAATTTCGGAAGCATTACCTTGTTGGTTCAGAGCACTAAAAGTAAATGATTGCTACTAAAAAGCAACAGTGGCTGCAGAGCTAGATTATACAATGTCAGTTTTCATTAAGAATTGTCCTGCAAGTCACCTGAATGTTAATGAGAAAGCAAAGACGTGAGTTCTCGGAATCACTAAGAATTCTGTTGTCCACTTGAAACTACTGTCCACAATAACTCTTAATTATGCCTTGTATCACCCATGAATTCACATATGATTACAGAAGTCAGCATACTATTTTGTCTATATATGTCATACACAGAGCTAAGAAGGTTTGATATTAAGTTTTTGTTTTCAAGTACAGCTAGACATTAACATCTGCTAGTGTGCTTGCCACAGCAGAAACAATACACTCAATTTCATGTTTTACGTTAAAGTCTTAAATCTTCTCCTACCTTATTACACTGCATTAGGAATGCTCATGTTTGATAGAAATGTTTCTAGAAAACCAGCCCCGTTTGCCTTATATTTGTTGTGCTTAAATTCCTATTGCTTTGTTTTGAATTCTTTCCTTACAAGAGAAACTTCATTTGTTAGAAGAGAGATCAACGCTACAAGCAACATGAACATCACTGGTTACTGTGAAAACAGGCAAAAAGCACTGCAACAGTTCTTTATCATTGCTCATTCTTCCAAAATGACAACTTTATATAACACTGAGAAGAGCTGAGTGCTTTCCATCCCACTGTACTGACAGCTTTTGGCATAGGCAACCATGACTCAATTTAAAAAACCCGAGAGAGCATTTGTGCGTGAACACTAGAGATGGGCCAGCTCTTTTTTAATCAGCACAACAAAATGGCATTTGAGCTCTGTCTGGTCATTCTTCACCTTCCAGATTATCTGAATAAAGGCTAGTAGGCAAATGGAGAAAGTGCAAGAAGTGGAAGAAGAGCAGAGAAGAAACAAGAGTGAGAAAGACTGAGAAGCAGCAGTGATTGCAAACAGTACTGGAGAATGGTTAAAACTGTAAATCTTTTAACAACAGAATGATTATTCTACATGAAGTAGCACTTGCTTTCACTAGAAACAGCCATTTATTTTTCATGCATCTTGCCAAATAGGATAAACTGGAGGAGGGAAGTTGGGAAATTTTATCTGTATAATAATTCAGGCATCGTGTGACAGCACATTTCTCACCAGCTTCCCAGCCTATTCTACATCCCACAGACTAAACAGTCAGGAGCCTGTCATATTAATAAAACCAGGAATACTAAGGTTGATCATCCCCAAATGAAATGATTTGTGACCAAACTAAACAGAGCTGTAGCAATTATTTTTCCCTTATGTGAATGAGTTCTCATTTTTTACTCCTAGCCCACTGTGACTGGCTTCCAGGAGCAATGTGGTACCTGGCTGATGGATCTTCCAGTCCTGGGGTAACCAGGCAGAAAAGGGAGCACACATGCTAATTGTCACCTGCTGCTTGCATTTTCCTTATCAGCCATCTGGCTTCTGCCTAAATACCCAGTGGGGCTCCTGATGTCAGTTATACTCCTGAAAGAAACAAGATTAATGCCAGTATTTGAGTGCTTTTGTGGTAATAAGCGAAGTATCTGTAGATGCTGTGACTCCTCTTCCACCATCTCCAAATAGATCCTCCTCCAGTACTGGGGCAAGATATGCAGAACTGCATGACATTACTGTCTAAAGGGAAAATATGAAGGAGTTGAAGAGAAATGAGACTTGCTCCCCAACAAACGCTTGCCAAGTCCTCCAGCAGTCTTTCCTGGAAAGAGATCGTTCTTTTGCAATCAGCTAAAAGCAAAATAAGAAGGGGTCCCTGCTTGTGGCAAGGGGGTTGTAGCTCGGTGATCTTAAGGTCCTTTCCAATCTTAACCATTCTATGATTCTATGATAATATCAAGGCTGCAATTCAATCTTCCACTGCCATTAGCTGACCAAGATATTCCACAATAGCTACTATAAAGTTCAAGCCTGATGGAGAACTCACTTTAGGAAAAAACTGTACCCAGGAACATACATTACTTCTCAAGTGCTGCTGACCTGTTACCTATCCTCTACCTGTAACCTGAACCCATGGTTCAGCACAGCAGACAGTGAATGCTGGTACCAAAGCTGCTCTAGTTTTTGCTGCCACTGAAACTGCCACCAAAAAGCATCACTGGGATGAGAAGACATTCTGCATTCTGTCTTACACAGGGGGCTTTCAGTAGCTTTTTCATCTTTAGAAGGTGATAGCTGAAGAACAACACTGCAGCATTTACAGTATCTAAAGAATAGTGGAAAGCATTTTAATTGACTATGCACACATTTGTGCTGCTGACATCAGTACGTATTTGGGACAAGTTGCTTTGGATATACAGAGAGAGCTGACAGCTCTGGCATGCCAGTTGTCGAAGGCTCAGACAGTGCTTAGTCTCGGAAATTCTGTGGCTCAAAATCCAGATAAATGCTGGGAGTACAACTGGTCCCAACTCCTGTGATTAACTCACGTTAGTCTCGGGGCACTTTCCTTCTTCTGCCTCATAAGTGCTTTAGTCTCTTCAGAATCATTTGCAGGCTAGTTTTGGCAAATCCTAAACCTAGGCTTTCTGTCAGAAATTCAGGCCTGTGCTCTGCACTTCCCCACTGACTTCTGAGAATGTCAATTGATCTTCCTAAACATTAAGAATACCCTTGCTTCCTCTTATCAGGTATAAATACAAATTTATTCAGGTTGATAGATTAAATAATTATTAACCCTAGATTTACACAAAAAGCTTTGAAAATGCACCTAAAATAACATATGCCTTAATGGAGATAGTTAATGTTAACTTTTCCTATACCATATACTTAAGCTAGGTATTGCCACTGTTCAATACATACTTGATTAGGTACTCCTATGGTACCTATAGGTACAGCTATGCGAATAGCTGGTTTAGGTACACATGGACTGGCCTCGCTCTAAAGGATGATGTAATTTGGAGCTGTAAACAGAAATCACATGAGGAGCCAGGTAGTGTCACAGTTTTGGAAGCGTGTCAGAATGTCACACATGTTTTGGGTTGCATTTTGTTAGCCCTGGACTGTAGAAATCCACAGGATTTCTATTGGCAGGAATCCCAAGCATCTACCTCAATGAGTTTATTTAAGCCTTCATTCCAGCTTATTTCCATCCCCTGTCTTCTAAGTGCACTTTTTTCTCTGAAATTAAATCAAAATCTCGAGAAAAAAAATCAAATTCAGTCAAGACTAAGCTGGAGAAAACAAATACGTTGGGTTGGGACAGGAGTTTGCCTCCATAGTGCTTTATCCGAGAGTCAGATGGGAAAACTAATTTTTCCTTGTCCAAGCTCTTTGCTGATATCAGGTTATCACAGCTGGAACAGGGTATCACAGAGGATCAGAGGTCTGGAACAGCTGAATTTCTGTCTCAGCTCATCTCAGACAGTGCTTATAGATGCTGTTTATGTTATTCATGGCTGTGTATCACTGCCAGGCTTGGCAGTTGGGTGAATTTTGCTTCCAGGTCTGAATTCAGAAATTGAGATTATCCTGACAGAGAGAATATCTATGTTCTGCTCCTTCGAGTATGCATTTGTTTATTATGCAATTAATTCTTTTAAAGTTGGTAGCTTGGTAAAGATAATAATGTGGGGGTTTAATTATTTTTAAATTACTGTTAATAAAAACTTAGTATTTTCCCCACGATTTCTTGTGTTACTGATGAGTGACAAGGGGATCACTCTGAAGGAGTGAAATGAGATTTCATATGCAATAGGGAAAAATCATCCACCTCTTTGCCAAAAATCTGCTAGACACTGGAAAGCTCCTGAAGATGCTTGAGAACATAACCACATGTTCTGAGGAAGACGCATACATGGACAGAAAGCATTAGTAACAAGCTTGATAAATCCATTAGAAAATGGATTTAATATCTAGTAGAATTAGTAATAGGTGTAAAAATGAAAACTATCTTATTTCTTTGGCATGCCCAACTGAACATGGGCATCCTAGCCTACTGAAAGGGGACTTCCCACTCAGGTAAGATGTTGACATGAAAGACAGCAATGGAAGGCTGAAAGCAGCTGTGTTTGCTGCAAAGGGTCTTCAGGCCCATAACACCCTAAACCGGTTCCACCCCAGCAGACCATGTGTTTAGTCATCTGTCCCAGTCTGAACACTTGCCTTGGAAATCAGAGGCAGGTTGTTCAGCACATACTTTCAGAAGCTCCCAGCACAGAACTGCACAGGAAATAAGTACAAGTGTCCTCCCATCACAAGACAAACTACATAGAAACAAAGAAATTAAAAGCTTTACAGCCTTATTTGAGTGATCTTTATGTCCTTAATAAAAGCACTTACTGATGAACCGGTTTCACAATCTAAACCCCAGCAAACAAGCCTAATTAAATGCCCAGACAGTCATACACACAGTCACTGAACACTTGGCTGTTACGATAAAGACTGATAAATGCTTTAGGACACACTGTACCCTATATGTTGGCAGGTGGCCTCTATTTTTGATATGGTAATTATAAAAGATTGCATTGCCATCCTAGAAAGCACAGAGCAGAAGTGAAGGAGAAAAACCCACCCTGAAAGATATATTCAAATTTTAAAAAATCCCAACAAATTCTTCACTTGGAACAAATTAATACACTTTCATGCTCAGAAATCTCACACCAGAGTTTTCCCTGAACCCCCAAGAGCAAGACATTTTGCATCACTGATGATCCCATGGTTACTACTGGTCTCTTATTTACAGTAAATACACATTAAGCAATGCAAGAACAGTATGCTGGAATGACTTACCTTTGTGCCATTTCTCTTTTGGTCACAAGTCTGCTCTTCCGCACTCTTGGAGCATTTTGACTGCTTTTGCTTTGCCCTGCAAAGATATTTTTCTAAGCAATTAAGTCAGTTGCAACTAAGATACTTGAGCAAAGCCTGCTAGAAGCTGAAGTGGTATAAGCAATGGAAAGCTGCAGGAAGGAGCACTACACACTGATGAAGATAAATCCCATGCTGACACACACCTCTGCAACTCCACTAAGATTTCTGCTCTCATTGGCACAATTTTTCCATGAAGAAAAGCTCTTATGACAAAATTGTCTATAGTTCCAATCAGTATTTATGTTTACGTGCATTGTTAATTCTACACATTCCATAAAGTATGCTTACATACTGTGTGTTTAAAAATGCATCATCCTATCATAATGCAGTTAAAATCAAAACTACAACCGTTAAAAACTTACTTTTCAAACCATGTTCCATTCAAATGAAATGGTTTCTTTTATCCTGGGTTACTCTGGGGTCTGTGCATTTCTGTTTCAGTGACAGGTAAGTTACTAATGCCATTTTACATCTACGATGTGCTAATGCCATTTTATATCTGTGATGACTTAAATTACAAAGTGCCTTTCCCCACAGAATAATGAGATGATGGCAAGTGCACAGTGCCTAAAAATGGCTTTACAAATCCAAAATCATTTATCTGGTGGTAGCAGGAGGAAGAAAGGTGCAGTTCAGCAACTGGGGAAAATACATGACATTCTGATGCATCTTTTTTAAACCTCTAATTAATATTTCTCCTTGAAGGACTAACCAATTCTTGGATGTCACATAGCAGCATCCTCTATGATCCTCAAGGAGTAAAGATACACACACTTGTGGAGGAGCACCTACTACCACAATTCCATGATGTCCATAAAATGATGACACAATACTCTGATCAGTTTTAACTGCTCAACTCAGTTGTTCAAAATAATTCCACAGGGAACAGTGTACCACCTTTTCTGGTTTAAGGATCCAGTCTCCAGAAGAGGAAAGCTCTAAGAGAAGTGAATGAGTTTGGACTGAGTCAGACACTCTTTCAACTAATGTTCATGCTGATATCCTTCCAGTGTTGTCATGAGCTCTTGCCCTATATCCTTTCTGTAGAGTCTTGTCTTGCTTTCAGCAAGTCTTGAATCTGTTAGCAGAGCAAGGTGCTGGGAATGGGATTCTGTCATGTTTCACCCTCTCTCCATCAAAAAGGGGAGAAAAAAATAAAAAGCCTTTACACTGAATTGTACTACTAGAATGCGCCAGTCACAGGAACTACACTGGCCTCTGAATAACTATGACAAGGCGGCAACAAGCAAGGTTCCTCTGGCTCCTTTGTCTTGACAGACCCATTCACTGGTTTGAGACTCATTAACAGGTGCCAAATGAGTCTAAATTCTGCCCTCAGCCGTTATCTCAAAATGAAAATACATGAAGGAAGGTTCATCTGGAGAGCTTCTGTGCAGGAGCACACAGGACAGGATACAGGAGACATCCTGCAGAGTTCCTACAAGTTTTCAGCAGCATTTCAGTCTGGATATGGAACTTGTAGTGAACACACCTCCCACCTCCCTGAAGCTACAGCTTCGCAAGCCTATAAGTACAAGGCTGGAAACATAATGAGCTCCCTGCAGACTTCTTCCTAGCACATGCGAAAGGATGTGCAAAATATAAAGTAATAATGCTAATTAGGCAGAAAAAAAAGAGCCCTGTAATTCTGTTCCCTCAAGCAGCTGGGTTGTTCCCTTCCACTGAGGGCATTAGGATGACCTTGTCCTTATAACACTTAGCCCTACTGCAGAAAAACTGCAGTGCACAAATGCTTACACAGCTTTCTGAAACTCAACTTTTAATGCTGCTGGGAGACCAATGGCTCTTTACAGGAACATTCTCCCCTACCTATGGATGCAGGCTTTCCAACAAGTGGCTAGCTCCTCTATTGACAATTATATTGATGGCTTAATAGCAGGAATGGAAAACAAAGACCAACTAGCATCACACATGTAGCTGTTTCCTGTAGCACATTGATTAGAGAGTGGTCATCAGTGACAGTCAATCTACAAAATCAAGTTGCTACTACATTCCCCAATGATCATCTCTTCCCTGAAACGCTTTGTATTTTATAACTTAACCTACTTTGTGCTGTCAGAGTTATCTTTAATACGTGAGGCTTATTTCAAGCCATCATAAGTCTCACACTAAAATATAGACAGGCTTATTAAAAATCAAAGTGATCATAGGTAACTGAATAATCCTGAGTGAGGAAGGACTGGGCAGAAAATAACAATCTATTATAAATACAATTTAGTTGTTGTACAACACTAAGAGCTTTCTGGAATTTTTCAGGGAAAATACAATAAAGTCCAAACTTCCTATGGAAACAGAAATCTCTTAAGATGACTTAAGACTGTGTGCTCAAATCTTTTTGCAACCGCCCAATAGGGTGTTTCTGTGTGATAAAAGAGGCAAGACTTCAACCTCCTTTCTTGTCTCTATGTAGCAATCGTCTTGAAATCCATCCTCCTGTATTAAATGGCAGAGTTCCTAACACCCTACACCTTTTCTGGACCAGGAAGCCATACTTCTATCCTGGCTATCTTTATTCTTAAAAAGGCCTCAAAGATGGGCATCCTTTAAAATCTTGGAATAGGCCATTTTTGAAAGGCCAGCTTCTGCAGGGTTGAAGTTAATTTGAAAAATCAAACCCAACATGACTATTACTGTAATAAAGAGAAAGTAGATACTTTCTCTGAGTACAGACATTAATACATTTTTGCCAATAAATAAACAGGAAACGCAACATTTGTCACTGAAGGGCAATAAAGTTTATGTAGCTGAATAATAAGATTTAAAATATTAAGCTCCATCACAAAATTGAAAGCTTGTTACTTATTTCTTTGTGGTTCTTTCAGCAGCATACTCAGCAGTGGAGTACTCAGCAGTACACTGCAAGAGGCTTATTTAAAGGAAGAAATACAGACAGGGCAAAATCTGACTAACAAAATATATATATATATATATATATATAATAATATAGAAACTTGGGGAAAGAGGAAGCAGAAATTCCTTCCCAATTCAAATTCTGGTATAAGTCAGGCAAAGTTTCACAGCTCCTGAAGCAAAACCAACAGAATAAGAACCATGAGAAGAACAGCCCTGCCGAAGACTGTTCTAAGCCTGAATATATCTCCTAGGTAATTTGCTGTAAGAAATTTCTCTGTATATAACTTCTTCTTTCACACATAATTAAGAGCTGTCATGATTCAGGTAAAGAGTTGCTGGAAGTAGGATAGTAATTGCAATCTTCCAGCAGGGATAGATGTAATAAATAGTGAAGATCTTTCACAAAACAGTACCTGCCTCAAGAACAGAACTTCTGTCTCTGTCACCTTCCAAAAGCATGTGGAAGTCTGCTATGGTAATTTAAGTTAGAAACAAGCAGAAACTTTGCTGGGTAGTGCTCTGCATACAAATGTGTATAGGAGAAAGAAGCAAGAGACTACAGAAGAGATTCAGAATAGCTGAGCACTTCATAGGGGTGGCTGAAGGTGATGTAAGGGGTTGGCACCTACAGGCAAATGTCTCACTCGAGCTCTCATTTGCACACCATTTTTCACCAAATTTTTAAAGAAACAGAACTCATAAATTTTTTGTTAATAAGCAAGGCTACATTTTTAAAAGGAAAAAAATTACATGCACTATTTTCACTTACATCCTTTTTTGTTTTATCTCCCCGTCTGAAACTTTAGGTGTATGTGTTACATCCTGCACAGGTCTTAACACTATAAGGCACAAGTTCTCTCCTTCCTTCCTACCTTTTAAGAACCTTCACAGTTCACATGTACCATCGCAGAACTCCTCAGAGGGCAATTTCATTGTTATTCTCAATGCATGTATTTGGAGTAATGTGTTTCTCCTCAGAGACCAATACCTCCAGTGGCATTTTCCTAAAGCCTGTTCCATGTTGATGTGCATGCATATGCATTATACCCTACTTGCAACTGCTCAGAATGAAATTCCTCACAGCTTTCTTCTGTGACTTGCTTAAAGCCTCAGACATTAAACCGTTGTACAAAACCTGATAAAGTTTTTAACTATTAAGATATAATGCTTTTTAAGATGACCATGAAGCAAGACTTTAAAAAAGATTTTTTCCTACTACAGTTAAATGGACATTTATCAAAAGCTTACTAAACAGCTATAGAACAAAAAAGAAAATGATGAATACTTCATGCAGAAGGATTGCATTTTCCACTCTCTCTAACAAAGTATCATTCATCATTTTCTTCCTCCCCTGCTACACCCCCATATTTTCTTCAAAAGATGTTTCCAAAGTTGGACATTTTACTTTGCCATTTTATCTGTAAAGCAACTCCAAAGACATAAACAATCTTACTGCAGCCCGCTAATGTTTACATCTATTTTCTTCCTTGTCTTTACTTTCTTCTACTTATATCAGCAATCAGGGATTGTTTGCAGTGATTTCAAACAACTACATTCTTTAAGTGACGGATCAACAGAGTTTAAAATCATTATTTTTCATTCTCAGTCGTGATACCTACCTGACTGAATAGGAGCAATTACATAAATACCTGTAAAGGATGTGATAGAAAGGACTTCTAAGACAGTAAGAAATTCAATCATTCAAATGTATTTCTTTGTTTTAATGTGTATGTAAATTTTGATCAATGTCCTTAAAAAGTCACACTAGAGATTTAACCTGTAAACTAATTTTAATCTCATACTCTGCAATAAAATTTAATGACTTTTACTTGGACTTAATACACAGCACTGCTGAAATTTGATGTGTAATACCTTTTTTCTACAGCCAAGACTCTCTATTTAAGTTTATGCTTCAGCTCCCTTTTCTCGGGGGTGGGATGGAAGTGGTGAAAGTGTTTTGAAACAGCTTTACTTTATCAGCAGAGATAATAACTTCCAAACAGCACATAAATAAAGACATCTTTTCATTCTCAGCAACCTCCATAGCCCTCTGATTCTTCACTTGCTCCTCAAGGACCTCTTTCTGCCTTCATTTTTTCTGGCACAGAAGTGAAATTCTCTGTCTCTCTCTTTCCAATTCTGGTAGTTGCTAAACCGCTCACCAGAAGAGACCACATTGGCTAGTATTTCCAGTAGTTTTACTCCACTTCAAACACCCAATAACCGGATATATCAGACAGAGCAATAAAGACCAGGAGAAACACTGACTCCACTCTAGGATGAAAAATGCAGAGATGCCCAGAATCACCCCAACAAACAAGGAGCCTATTTCTGAACTGACCAACTTGAACAGGGTCCCTTCCCAGGTAGCTCAAAGAGCTGACTGGTAAATAATTTACTTAAGAACCTGCACTTCACCTGAAAAAGAAGCGGTGCTACTGAGACTGCAGGGCAGCAGGTCTGTGTGTTTGCTCAGGGCACTGACATCCTCTGTTCCTCTAAGCTGTCCCTGAAAAAAACTATGGGAAGAAACATTAAGCCGCATGGCTCGGAAATAACCTTCATTGCCAGCAGGAGGCAAGAACAGCCTGCAGCCTCTAACAGATTAATGGACATCCATTGAACCAATGCCTTCAAAATACAGAAGCAGCCACTAGTAACAAGGCAATCTCAATATTACAGGTAATACAAATCAGCTCTGCTAAATTAAGGTGATGTTGGCAAAAGGAATTCATTAAATAATATTCCCTTATAGCATGGGGGACGGGAACTAGATTATCTTTAAAGGACCCTTCCAACCCAAACCATTTTATGATTCTATAACTCTATATTTGTTTCACAGAACACAAACTTCTTCTCACTTTATTGATAGAAATGCTCGTTTTTCACAGCCCATTTTTTGCACCATGTAACACTTAGGCATCCACTCCTCCAGATTACTTTCAATGGCAAAATGTATGAACATGGGACAACCATGAGATAAAAGGTCTTATAGGCCTTATTCTGCAGGGTGAAATTTCCATGGCTCGTGTTATGGCAGTGATCTAGGAAAGCCTTAAGTGAAGGCCATTTGGTTTTGCTGAAGAGTGGAAATTCTGCTGGTCTTACACAAAAGTTCCAATTAATAGTTATAGTGGTTGCATACAGATAACAGGAGACCAGTCAAGAGACTAGAATGGTTTTGAAACATTAGTCAGGTTTCTTGTTTGTTAAGGAACTGTTCATGGAACAAGCCTGAAAAGCCTCACACGGCAACTAGTGCTCAAGGAGCTTGTCTCATAACCATTTTTCATACCATCCCTACACTGCTAAAAGCTTTCTTTTGTGCTAAAAAAATACTGAAGGACTTTAAGAAGGAAAGAAGAAGGAACAGACGGCAGTTTCAAGCAGTAAACACAACCCCCAAACAAAGCGCCAGATCAAATACAAGCAAAACAATTGGCAGTCCACCTTCAGCTCTCCAGTCCTCCCATTTGTCTGCAGAACAGATGGCTTGCTGAAAG